AGGAGATTTACCAACTAATGTAAAACTATGTTTTTTCTATATTGATAATTTATTCATGAAAATGTAAGTAGCATTTAATTTTATTACCCTCTATTTTCTAATTTCAAGCTTGAAAAATGTTTTTACCAGCAGGTAGGCCTGCTTTTATCTATTTTTTGCAGAAGAAACAAACAAACAAACAAAAAGTCAGCCCAATTATCCACAGCACCTATAATTTGGCAAGAAGGATTAGACTCCAGATAATGAATGCACGGGACCATGCTACTTAAGAGATTGTATACAATTCACTATGTAAGATTTTGGTAATCATGGTCTTTAATGATTAGGAACATTTTCTTAGAATTTAAGATCTTATATTAGGATCACATATGCACTTTTGGAAAAATATATCTAAAATAATTGCTTCCTCTAACCCTTCAAATAATGTGCAGACCTCCAGCTACTTATTTGATCAGTCTGTGTCCTGAATTCTTGACAATCTGCATATTAAAATGTGTCTTGCCCTTGCCTTGTTCTACCGTTTATGAAGAGTGAATTGTATTTCACTATCACTAGTCTCTGGAGTCATCAGCAAAAGGTAGTTCATGCAGGAAGAATTCCCTTGAAATGTGACAGGGTGGACTTTGGAAATCTCTTCAAGGTTGGTTAGATTTTAATGTTTATAAAATAGCAGAACCCAACATGAACTGAGTCTTTTACTTTGAAACATATTCTGTCCTGCCTCCATAATTTTTATATTTGTTTAACTCCCATTTGACAAGCTGCATTTTCCTGGCTCTATCGTTGGTTAAGCTACTCTATTTAGTTCCTGTTTTGGTCCAGGCAATTCAAATACTCCAATTCTTCATCAATTTACATGGTCCATTATGAGGAAGAAATGGGCCTTCTTTTACAAACCAGAGATGATCTCTCTGCTTGTTTTATGAAGAATTTTCTCTCATGGATGTTATGAGTCGTATGCCAAGAGTTACATACATAGGTCAGTAAAAGTATTTGGTCCTTAGGAAGAGGCCAAATTGTATCTCCAATAGTCTCATTCATTGTTTGGATATGGCCAGCTTTAGTGACGGTCAAAAAAGACTTGCGTTTGTAAAACTGATTAAGCCACAGCAGCACATTCCCTGATTTCTTTCAGAAGGATCAGAACAACAAATTTAATAGTGCTTGGAAATTTCAGACAGCCCAAAATATTGAAAGAATATTCTGAAAAGTACAAACTTAGTTGATATTTACAGTACTTACTACTGAAATTTGATAGCAGAGAAACTCAGCAGAAAATTTGCTGTTCAGTACTAGAAATCACTCTGGATGAATGAAGTAAAGTTCTTTCCATTGATTATTCTCATTTGTTGCACTGTAATCTGAATGTTTCCAGAGAGAATGAGGTAGAAATCAGGATAAAGATACATCACAGAATCTGCTATCTTTCTGCCTTTCTCCCATTCCCACTCGTGGAGTGTTGTGCCATTTCCCCCCCATTTGGATCGCTTTCTCTGAGAATATGGTATGATAGTTCTGCATTGTAATTTTTTTTTCTAAAAGAATTTTGGTTAACAGCTCTCTTTTCCCCTCTAGATTTTTATTATGTTTATTTAATCAATACCTTTTTCATTTTGGAATGGAGATGCTTCAAGATTCCCAACAGACACTTCTTTTTCCACTGCCTGGATATACTTCTGCAAAATCCAGATTAGATTTTTCACACGTTTACAACTAAACAGATTTTTTAAATCATCCTTCCAGATTTTGCTGTACTTTTGCAAAAGATGAGAAGAACAGCAAAAGACTAGGTTTAACAGATTAACAGATTAACAGAGTTGGAAGGAACCTTGTAGATCATCTAGCCCAACCCCTCCCCCCACACACACACAAAAGCAGGAGACCCTACACCATTTCTGACAAATGGCAGTCCTATCTCTTCTTGAAAGCTTCCAGTGATGAAGCTCCCACAATTTCTGAAGGCAAACTGTTCCATTGGTTGATTGTTCTCACTGTCAGAAAAGTTCTCCTTATTTCTAGGTTGAATCTCTCCTTGATCAGTTTCTATCCATTATTCCTTGTCTGGCCTTCAGGTTCCTTGGAAAATAGCTTGACCCCATCCTCTCTGTGACAGCCCCTCAAATATTGGAACACTGCTATCATGTCTCCCCGGTCTTTCTCTTCACTAGACTAGCCATGCCCAGTCCCTGTAACCATTCTTCATATATTTTAGTCTCCAGTCCCCTAATTATCCTAGTTGCTTTTCTCTGCACTTTTTCTAGAGTCTCAACATCTTTTTTATAGTGTGGTGACCAAAACTGGATAAAGTATTCTAGGTGTGGTCTTACTAAGGCTTTATAGAGTGGTATTAGTACCTCCCTTGATCTTGATTGTATCCCTCTGTTAATGCAGTTTAAGATTGCATTGACTATTTTCGCTGTTGCTGCACACTGCTGGCTCACATGTAACTGGTTGTCAAGATCCCTCCCACAGTTACTGCTATTAAGCCTGGTTTAGATTTGTACTATTGCCTAAGTGTAAGACTTCATTTTCCTCTACATTGAATTTCATTTTGTTAGATAGGGCCCAGTGTTCAAGTCTGTCAAGATCCATCTGGATCTTGAGTCTATCATCTAGGGTGTTTGCTATTCCTGCTAGCTTAATATCATCCTCCAATTTGGTTAATTTCTCCTTCTATTCCCTCATCTAAGTCGTTTATGAAGATATTGAAGAGTACTGGGCCTAAGATGGAACCTTGCGGTACCCCACTGCTTACTTACCTCTATTTAGGCATAGACCCATTAAGGACTACTCATTGAGTATGGTTTCTCAACCAGTTATGAATCCATCAGGTGGTGATGCTATCTATCCCACTTTTTTTCTAGTTTACCAAGAAATAGGTTGTGGTCTACTTTGTTGAATACCTTGCTGAAGTCTAAGTATATTATGTCCACACTATGTCGCTGGTCTACTAATTTAGTCACTATGTTGAAGAATGAAATAAGATTGGTTCGGCATGGTCTGTTTTGTTTTGTTGCAGTGCTATGAGCAGCCACAACAACACAAATTATGTTTCTATGATTCAATGTCAATTTTTCATTGGGATTTACATCTGCAGTGCTTTATCAACTGTAGCCACTTGATTTATCTAGAAAAAAACCTAGGCACTTAGATCTTTTGTTATTTCCATTTCTCTGGATTTTTCCTGCCATGTAGAAAATACTCTACATATACATAGTATGAATGTGAATTGTTAACAAAATGCATATACGGTGTAAATTGGATATTTGTCCAGGAATAACATAGCAAAAGATTCTCTGCCAGGGAATACTTATCAACTTTATCTATTTTTTAAACATAAATTGGGATTTCTGTTAAATTGTTTTTAATTTATATTTTCTTACATTGATCCACCCCCCCACCCATCCACCCCTGCAAAGAATAATGGGAACTGGGATCCAAATGCTGGATAAGGAAAAGATCTGGAGTCAGATAGTTGTTTTCCAGTAGAAGTCCAAAGACCAAGAAACAGTAGTCCGATACCCCACGGATGCTGGGATGGCTAAATTAGGGGCATTAGTGCTTTTTCTTTTTGAGCAGGCATGCTGATCATCTTTGCTCTGCCCTGAGTCGCTGTTGGCATGGTTCTTGAGCTATGTGCTCACCCTAATATGCCCCACCCATGATCTGAGTTAGACACACACACACACACACACACACACACACACACACACACACACACTGTTCTGCTCATTGTCATCTAGAACAATCTCAAATGTTTAATTGCTGGCCAGCTCCTCAGATGAACAGCACATTTCATCTGCCTCTTCAGCTTCTGTTTCAGAGAATTTAGAGAGGATCACAACAAACCAGGGAGGGGGCGGTCATCACTTAACTACCAAGTGCCTACATCAAAGCAGATGTGTGATGGTATGGTGGGTAAATTGTGGTTTCTGGGAGGAGAAGTGGAGACCCTCAAACATTCAATATATGGGCTTCATGCAGTTGGTCTCTGATTTGAGGACAACCTGGTTTAATTCAAATAATTTCAAATTTTAAAAAGCTAGCAGAAAAGAATAAAAGAAGATCAAAGATCAATTTGTTCAAAGAATCACATTGAATTTGAAATATTTTTGAAGGGTATTAGAATAGACTAGACTAGACTAGACTAGAACAGAACAGAACAGAATAGAATAACAGAGTTGGAAGGGACCTTGGAGGTCTTCTAGTTCAACCTCCTGCCCAGGCAGGAAACCCTACACTACTTCATACAATTGGTTATCCAACATCTTCTTAAAAATTTCCAGTGTTGGAGCATTCACAACTTCTGCAGGCAAGTAGTTCCACTTATTAATTGTTCTAACTGTCAGGAAATGTCTCCTTAGTTCTAAGTTGCTTCTCTCCTTGATTAGTTTCCACCCATTGCTTCTTGTTCTACCCTCAGATGCTTTGAAGAATAGTTTGACTCCCTCTTCTTTGTGGCAACCCCTGAGATATTGGAACACTGCTATCATGTCTCCCCTAATCCTTCTTTTCATTAAACTAGACTTACCCAGTTCCTGCAATCCTTCTTCATAAGTTTTAGCCTCCAGTCCCCTAATCATCTTTGTTGCTCTTCTCTGCACTCTTTCTATTTCTTTTATTTTGGTCACCAAAAAGGTTTTGACCATTATCAAATTCTATTATCACAAATAGGATATCCCTGAGGGCATTCTGCATAATTTATCTGTCTAAGATTCATGCAACTGGGTTGTTGATTAATTCCATTTTGTATGCAGGATCTCCTTGGGTCAATTTATTTGCTTTTTGACAGGAGATTTTATAAATAGTGGATAAAAAAAGAACAAGAGCCCTTTGAGAAATCCAGTAAACATGAAACAATATTTTCTGAGGAATGGCTTACATTTGGAAATCCTAATGTATATTTTGCATTTTGTAAATTTGGAACCATTGATTTTCTGAAATTATATGTTCTAATTCTTTACTATCCACAATAATAAAGTTATTTATCAGAGATTAGATATAGCAAATATTATAGTTTAATCATATACAATACTCAGTCTGTCAGTCTTTTAAACAACCATTAGATAACAACAGAAGGTGACTCAACCTTGCATTTAGCCAAAGTGTACAATACAAGATCTTCCTTGTTACCTTCAAATATAGATTAGTCCACAACATCAATTTGCAATAATACTTCTAACTGAGACCCTTGTATGATTAAATCTCCAGTACAAATTATATTTTGAAAATTTGATGAATATAGTTTAGGAAAAAAAGCTATTAAGAATTTCAGAAGTATTGTTAATTGTTAATATTATATTTGTATTCCACATCATTGTTAAGATTGCCTTTAAATGTAATAATCACCCCACATGCTTTATTTGAGTATCTATTAATGTAGGTACTTTCTCCTAATTATTGACCACAAGTGTCCACTGAACGTTTAACAGCTCGTATAAGGGGGTATTGATTATTTCTGAAGTCCTTCAAGAAAGACATTACATCCGTATCTTTGGTGTCCCCAACCAGAGAGAAGGTGAAATTCTGGAGCAAAGCACTGAAGAACAGGAACAGCTCCATCCTAGCCAGGGCCTCCCCTGGACAGGCCCTCTTCCCTACAACAGCAATAAAGAAAACAGAGGTTATTTAGGAAGTACTTGCTGGAATGGTCTCTGATAAAAGACTAACATGGATCAGGTAAGCACATGAACTTGTAATACAATCTGTTCCAGAGGCTTGTACCTGCTGAGAATGGCATGAAAGCATCCTTTTTCCTGAACTGGCCATTTTCATCCAAAAAATGATTGGGATTGAACTTCTCTGGAGTCTCCCAATGAAGAGGGTCAAAATGTACAGAGGAGAAAACTGGCACAATAGCCATACACTAGAGGGAGAGGAAGAAACTGTCATTAGATGATAATATTTCATATGGAAAAGAAAGTGTCTTTGCTTTCCACTTGCCTAAAATAAAAACATGCAGTGACTAGCCGTCTGCTGAACCTTGAAGAATGAAGAGGGAAGGAATAGATACCGTAATTTTCGGAGTATAAGATGCACCCGAGTATAAGATGCATATACCTTTTTTGGTGAGGAAAAGAAGAAAAAGAAATCTCCCTCTGCCTCTGAGCAATTTTGCCTCATTGCAGCAAACAGCAAACAGCCTGCTTTACTTTCATTTTCATTTTCAGCATACTTGATTAGTACAAGGAAAAAAAAATCTGCTCCAGCAATTTGCCTCTTTGCAGCAAGCAGCAGAGTCCTGAGCAAAACACCTGAGAGCAAATTAGCCGAGAGTCGGGAGGCTGATCCAATCAACTTGTGCTAATTAGTCTGTGCTGAAGCTGAAAGGAGCTGTTTTTTCTTGCTGTTTACTTGCAAGGAGGTAACTGCTGCAAGGCAGAGGCCAAAGGGTGGGGGCCAGTGGGTGGGCAGGGCTACATTCGGTGTATAAGACACACCTAAATTTTCACCCCCTTTTATGGGGGAAAAAGGTGCATCTTATACTCCGAAAAATACAGTATTTCTTTCAAGACCTATTTCTCTAAATTGCTCTTTTATTCAAACTGCCTCATATCAAGGATCTAAGTCGTTCTTTCCTTTCTTCCCTAGAGAACCTTCTTAAATACTTGTATCACCATACCTTGGGAATGGTGTAACCATGGAACTTGATGTCACAAGTTGTTGCCCGGGGATAGGTCTCAAGAGTCCCATTCTGATGTCGCTGAACTTCATGAATAACGGCATTTGTGAAAGGCATCTTCAACCGGTCTTCCATGCTTGGAGTGCGATTTGTACCTATCACCTCATCAATTTCGTGTTGCACTTTAGCTGTGAGAAGAACAGATTGAGATGAGATTGACAGACTTTGTCATGCTGAGCACCTGCAGTCATTTGAATAGAAATATGTCTTCCAAAGCACATTCAGGGAAGACAGTTCTAGTCAGAACAATGGCTCCTCCTCAGAGTCATTTCTCAGTAGAGACCACTTCAACTTTTCTAGTGCAAAATGAGATTCATATTATTTGTATCTCTGCCTTACTAGATATCTTGACAGGCAGTAAGCATAAAGCATGTGTGGGCTTTCTGAAGATTAGAGTCTCCACTCAAAAACAGGATAAACAGTAGTCAGGAGAAAAGATACAGTTCTTAAATTAATTTCCTAAACTGTTATTATATGTATGCATTTATTATGCCAGCAGCAAACAAGCATTCATTCCTCCAAAATCATGAGGCCCATTTCCAAAAAGCTAGTGTTTCAATCTATAACTAATCAAGCAATTTTGGGAGGTATCATAGATTAAGATTAATTACATTCTGTAACAATTTTTCATCTATGTCATAATTATACATTCTTGTGGAAAACCATTTTACCATTGTCTGAAGCAGTGTGGTTCAAAATGTTGGAGATGGTACCTTGAGTTAAAAGGAATCCAGCTGCAATGAGTTTACTTTCAATTCCATCTTTACTTTCTTTTTTCTTTAAAAAATATGTTTTCTTTAAACACCATCATTACTTTCTTAGCATTAATAGTGGCAACCCTAGGAGTACCAACACCTTTATATATTTGTGGGTATTTTTATACCTTGAATGTGTGGCAATTCAGCCATCACTAGAAGGCTGCAAAGCAAAGCGTGGCTTGTGGTTGTTGTCCCAGCAATAAAGAGTCCATATACCATAATCACAAGATCTTCAAGAGTGTAGATACCTTCAGATGGGTTCTGCTCCTAAAAAGAAAATGGAAAGAGAAACAGAAGAATAAAAAATTCTACTTGGAATTGAAATAAACTAATTCATGAAACTTTTCATAGTGTCTTTTTCAATTAAAGGAAATGTAATTCAACCAGGGTGACTTTAGAATATCTAGAAAAGGTCTTCAATTCTAAAATATTTTGGGGATCACTATTTCATGCAGAGGAAGAAGATCAGAGCCTATCTGATCTACCCATCAAATATTTACCACAAGAATTGATACTCTAGTTTTGACTAAGGTTGTTGGAGCTGGCCTAAGCAATTCCTAAGGTGTATGCTTGGAAAAGAGAATTGAATCTGTTCCATAGAAATTTATTTGTTACATCTGACAGACTAATCCTAATAGAAATTAATAATTCTCTACAAGAGGATTCTAGAAAATGCTACTTAATTATCTTTATAACACCTATTGTGATTGTAGATCTCTAAAGAAATACCTTCTAAAATTTAAATCAGCATGGGAAGAAAATACTTATGCATACTCATTTTTTGAAGGAGAATTCTGCGGTCTTAAAGTTAACAGAGTTCATTTCTATTGTTTGACCTAATTTTCAGAATTGAATGGATACCTTTAGCAACAATTATGCCTGGAATAGTAACATATGCCAACAAATGGCAATGACCGGGTTGTCCAAAAGTAAACAAAAAAAAAGCGGGGGGAGAATAAATATTTCCATATTTCTTCATATAGGATGAACTAGTTCCATCTTAGATGCATAATAGAGATATTTAAACAATTATGCAGATATGTTATTTATACCTACCTTCTCCAGTCTAAGAAGGAAGCAATCAATATAGTCACGCAGGTTCTGGGGATCCAACGTCTTTTGGTGCAAATCCACTTTCTCATGGATATAATCACAGATACTTTCAATTTCAGCAAAAATGTTTTTGTGTGGCCCAGGAAAGAATTCCACTATTTTTGGAAACGTATTGTATACCTGTTATAGAGTTCACATTAAATACTATAGCTGATTAGACCATTATTTTATTTTATTTTTATTTTATTAATCATATTTTTATGCCGCCCACTCTCCGAGGACTCTGGGCAGCTTACAACAATCGACAGTATACTAAATAGCATATTGCCCCCAACAATCTGGGTCTTCATTTTACCCACCTCGGAAGGATGGAAGGCTGAGTCAACCTTGAGCCGGTGAGATTTGATCTGCTGATCTGCTGAACTAGCAGTCAGCTGAAGTAGCTGCAGTACAGCACTCTAACCACTGCACCACTTCGGCTCCTTATGGTGGAGGATTAATGCCCCAAATATTCAGAGAATAACTTTTACTCTGATATTGCTAGTTGTCAATTCTCAGATGGACCCAAAGCCAAGAAGACAAGAATCACAAGGATTTCAGTATGTTATCTTTAATTCTATTGTCAGGTAAATACAGTGTCTTGAAAACTATAATAGAAATTTATATTTATAATAAGTTAATTAAAGAGGAGTGTCTTCGAAAGGCTTTTCCCCAGATCTCTCCTCACCTAGGCTGAATCCTTGGTAGGAGATACTTTGTCAAGGGATTCTCCCACTGCTTTCCTAGCCTCCCTCATCTCTTCCACAAAGAGATAATGGTGGAAATGGCCAAAGTCCTCCAAGAGGCAAAGACAGAAACTGACTGTGTGCATAAAAATAGGGGAGTTGTCTAACAATTCCATGATAAGAAGATATACATTTGTCCAGAATCTGACATGGCCCAAAGGAGTTACGAGAGAAGGAAATGGTTCCCTACGAAATAAGCCCAACCAGAAGAGATTTTGCCAAGCACCAATTTATGCTTGGATGTCTAGATTTGCCTTCTCCTGCTTAGTAGCTCATGAAATCTCATCTTTACATTTCTGACTTGGACTTGGATTTATACTTACAAACACACCTGCTAGTTAAAATGGGGGTTCATGACAAGAAGAGGATCAGGTGGATTAACATACCATTCCTAAGAAACTAACAGAATGTCGTATTTGAGACTCAATAATCTTCTGCTTCTCTATGAAGGCTTTATCTTTGTAATCAAATCGATTGCCAAAAATGACTGCACAAATCACATTAGAAACAGCACTTGCAAAAATTCTCCTTGGGTTGAAAGGCTGCCCTGAAAAAAAAAGACCACAGATGTTTATGAGTGGGATCAGTAAATGTGGATCTTTCCTTTGTCAAATCTCACCTCAAAACTGCAAAAGAAAGTGATTCAGGTCAGAGAAATTGGAACTATTATTCTTTCCCTCTTTCCTAAGAATGGAATATAAACACAATATTAAAATCCTATAACCACTTTAATCAAGATACAACATAGTGTTTCCATGTTCCACTTTGAAATTGATTAAATATAGATTCAAAGATTGGCTTTGTTACCGCTAGAGTTTCTTCACAAACTTATTGCTGTCTTCTTCAGTCAAGAATTGTTTTCTCATTCCTTCCTTTGCGTTTTCCTGCTCCTGGCTGTTTTTTTCCACTTTGTCCCTTCCCTTCTTCATCTCTTCAAAGGTTCTGCCTCCTTTTTTAACTGAGCTCTCCTGTCTTACCCTCCCTTCCTCCTTCTAAACTCTTTCTTTTCCTGTTTTCTTTTTATATTTCTTTAAATAATATCACTTGCAAGTCATTCCATTATTTCTCCCTTCCCATTCCAGAGGTTTGTCCATTAAACATTATATTCAAAGGCACCACAGCTCACTAAAGGAATGCTATTTATGATTGCTTAATTAGATCCACAGTGCCTTTCAGTTCTCCAACCTCATGCAAACTCCCCATAAAAGCAAATCTGCTGATTTTGCCTGGTGTTTAATATAAAATTATGTTTAAGTTATTTTTAAAGAAACATTTGCTTCTTTTTCACTTTTAACCAAGCACTCTGTTATCTCCATCCTTCTCTCCTGCTAACATACCCAATTTAAAAAAAAATAAATAAACTTTTTTTCCTATTTATTTTTATCGCCTTCCAGAAGAGACATGGCCACAAGGATGGCTCTCAAAGCTGCTTCAACTATTTATTAGAATTTAATAAAGTTAAAGAGTTAATTTAATTCAACTCTATGTTGCCTTACAGATCTCTGTCCTTCATGGAGCCCATTCTTATGTGTGTGTTCCTTACCTCCCTTAGTTTACCTGTCCATTAAGTTTTTTGCTGATTTCTAAATTTGCTTGATGTGTGTTACTGCATCCAGCCTAACATTTCACTATTTTGGCCAAAGTTGTAATTTTATAAAGCCATAATTGCCCCATTAAACAACTTCCTAGAATTTCTGATCTCTCAGTGCTGCAGCCACAGTAAGATATCAGTACTTCTTGGCAAGGTTGTAATTTTATTAAGCCAAAAGCTGACATTGGATAGAAAAGAGGGAGAAACAGCTCTATTACTTTTCCCTTTGCTTCTGAACAATACTGTGAAAATAAAAGGGGGGACATTCACTGCCTATCTAAATTTTTCTTTATTTTGTGTATTTAAGTGCAGAGGATTTGAGTTTAAGTTTACAATCTAGTTTTCCTGCAACTTCACATAATACAACAAATCCTTTTCAGATTCTTTTTTTTTTTACCTTTTGTGGTAGCTATTTCCTCTACCAGACAAAGGGCTTCCTCCTGCACCCTCTCAGACTTTTTTTTCTTCCCCATCCCAAAATCTCTCAAGGTGGACAGTGTGAACCGTCGCAGTTCCCTCCATTTCTTCTCATCAGTAGTGGTCAGACCTGAAACCAAGGACACAGGAAACAGATCACAATGTTATATTAGTTCTCAAATTTTGCAGAAGGGGAAAAAAATATACGTTATGATTTTCCCTCACCCCACTTGGTTGCTTCATTATGTACCATCAAGTCACTGTCAATTATAAGCAACCACATAGAGTTTGTCCATTACAACCTTTCTCCAACCTAGTTCTTGAGGATTTTGATATACTTGTCATCATTATATTTCCATCATCTCTCTTCCCTACCACATTTCCCACAGTTACAACTCTCTCTATAGAGCTAGGCCGTTGCATAATCTTTTTGAAATATGATCATTTGAGTCTAATCATTTTGCTTTGAGTAAAAATTTTGGACTGATTTGTCCAATGATTTATTTTCTTGGGTATCCATGATATTCTCAAGGGTTTTCTTTGGAATCTTGTCTGGAATCTTCTCCAACATCAAAGCTTAAAACGCATCAATATTTTCTCTATCCTGCTTCAAAATCCGAATTATTTTGAAGGTACATGAAATTGATATTGACATTAATTTGGATAACATAAGCCAAAAAGTGTCTTCATTGGTAAACCATTTTGGATGCCTTCCCAAAGGACCAATTTAGAGGTCAAATTATTGTTATTTGTTGTTGTTGTTGTTTTGTATGTAAGAGACAATCTGAGCAGACTTGAAAAGTGATTAGTGGAAAGGAAATGGTGAAAAAACATTTTTTTCCTTTTTCAAGAAGTATGATCAAATCTATATCTTTACCTGACATTTCAAGTGAATCTTTCACAACTATCAATATTATTAATGGCGTTCAGATAATTTGTACAGAAAATTAAAGAAAAACAATAACTAATAAGGAAATGAAAGAGGATCAACCTTTATTTTGGAATATTCGCCTAACAGCAGGTATATCAATTCGCCCACCAAATTCTTCTGAATGATCTACCAAAGCATCTTTTACCACCTCGTACCCACAAAGAGCAATCATTGGTATTGATCCATTCCAGACAGTAAATACAGGTCCATATTTATCAGCAAGCTAAGGGTAGAATTAGATGAAAATTCAGTTAATTAGGTGACAAAGCATTTTTGGTGAAATTATTATAAAGTATTTTTGAAATACTACTTAAATTTACCAGAGCTTCAATAACTTTTAATACCTATAAAATACATCAATATAATCATATGATCATATGATCCAATACATGCCATATATCTCCTAGTTGGTGAGTGACCAACCATGTTATGTTTGGTATCTGTGGATTATAGAACCTAGCTTGCCGAGAATAGCTTGAGCTGCTCCAAATAAAACTGTGCTTTGGTTCTGGCATACTAGCACAAAAGGACCAAAATGCAAAAGTTATATTTTTACCATTAACAAAAAAAGTTATGTGTTGCAAAGGTAAAACTAAGCCTGAAAACTATTTTGATGAGAGCTTTGTCGTTTGAAAAGCAATAATACATTTTTGGAATTGATTTTTCAAATGGACAATAAATTCTGTCTTTCATTTCTTAATCACTTTTAAGGACTACTAATATTTATTAAGCTAGAAAAGATTTTCTTTAGCCACAGACTGTTATTCCTTTGAAGATCTGTGCCATTTTTGAGGATTTTTTTTTAATGTTAAACAACAAGGAAGAAAGATACTGAAGGCAAGGTAAAATAAGGAAGTGTGGAGTATCTTTTTTTTTTTAACTTTGATGGTGAAATATAAGAATAGAAAATTGTGGCTCTAGATTCCCATTTTTAAGTGATTTGTAGCTTGTCTCAGCCCCTCTGGAGCTGCCAGTGCTTCACCAGGCACAAACGAACATGCACACACGAAAAAGGAGGATTTGTTCCAAAACCTGGTTTAATGGAGGCAACACAGCAGCGTACAGTAGAGACTGAGCTGCTAAGCAAAACAAAGTTGGAGACGCCCTAGCTCTCCGCCCGTACTGTTTTATAGGGCGTGGATACAGTTAACTATCATTAGGCAGGCAATGATTTCTCACAACTGTCACAATCAAAGCTGCTGCTTGTTCCGTTCATGCTCATCACAGGCATAGGACGTCATTCCCCTCCGCACTACTATCTCTTCAGCAGCTGATTTACATTCCCATTCCACCCCCCTCTTCATTATCTCTTCAGCAGCTGATTTACGTTCCCATTCCACCCCTCCTCTTCTTTCCTTCCATCCATCACCCACTATTAGTGTACATGGTGTCCTAACGCAACACCCCCCTCCACCGTGTTTTGTTGCTGGAATCCATCAGTATTCTCCGGATCCCCTTCATGGTCTTCAATATCATCCATCAAGGTGATGTTTTGCCGAGGGGCTTTTGACACTCGGCAGCTTGTCTATTTTGCTGTGGGTGGTTAAAACTGTCTGATTTTTATGAATCCTGATTGGCCAGTAATTTTTAAGTGACATAAAAAGAAACCCTACTCTTTGACTAAAGAAGTAGTTAAGAAGATGGAGGAACAAATTATTAGAGATGTATTTGAAAAATTCTTAAATAAAACAGACCAGCTATATTCCAAGGATGTTAAAATAAAACTGTTTAAACTACTTCAGAGATGCAATTATGTGCAGAAAGTTACCAAATCACGCCAGCAATTTCACAAGTAGCTGACAATGTAAAGGAGTCAATTGCAATTTTGGAATATAAACCAGACACCAATCTTTATTATGATGGTTTAAATATAAACCTCCCAACACAATTGAAAGAAGAGTTTCAAGAAAATCTGCAATTTCAAGAGGAGAAGTTTTGGGCTTTTTTCTTGATATTAACAAGGTTGAGAAATTCTTGAGAAAAAGAAGTTTATAATTACTTGATTGACATTCCAGAGAAGAAAAAAGATTTTATTCTATGAAGAAAAGCTGGAAGGAGTGATTTAAACTTAATGTGTCTATTGGAATCAAGATGGATTTTTACCTGTTTGATATTTGTAACTGAAAGAAAGCTTTGATATAAAGTGGGTTTGAAAATGCATTTTTATATATATTGCTTAAGTTATTCCTAAAGATTGTAAAATATTACTGAAAGTGTATTTGAAAGTATCTATGTTAAGAGGCAATTAAATAAAAAGGTGTATTAACTTAAAGAAAGGTTTAGAGTCTGTAAATAGATGTATACAAAAAGAAAAAAAATATTCTACGAGGATAACTTGGAGGGAGTGGTTTAAAAAGGAATTAGTTGGAGTTAGTTGGGTTTTTATTGGTTTGATCTATGTAATTGAAAGAAAGCTCTAATGCAGTTTGTGCTTTATGTTTATAAATGAGTTTGAAAAATATTTTTTCTTTTATATATAATTTTGAGTAATATTTAAAGCTTGTGAAATATTACTGAAAGCAAATTTTAAAGTATGTATGTTAAGAGGAAATTTTTAAAAAGATGCATTAGAACTTACTGATTTTAGAATTTATTTTTTTTAGTTTAATTTTTTAAAATGGATGTGGGAAAGTGCTTTTTTCCCTTTAAGGTTAAAGAATTTGAAAGGATATAATGAATTTTGTTAATCAAAATGATGGTAGTTTACAAACATTATTAAGTGCAAATAGAAATATTACTAAACAGAATAACAGAGTTGGAAGGGACCTTGGAGGTCTTCTAGCCCAGGGGTCTCCAACCTTTTGGACCTCAGGGACCATCAAACTCATAATTTTAAATCCCATGGACTACTGGGGGGCATTGGGAGGCTCAGCTGCCTTTTGGGCCTACCTGTCTGCTTCTGCAAGGCGTTCAGATGGGAGCCTGGAAACCTCTTTTGTGTTCCTTCTCTCAAGAAGCTTGGTCAATCTGAGTGAAGGAAAACGAAGACGGGCACACTGACAGTAACTTGCTGACATTGGTGGGAAAGTTGGTCCCATATTCCAGAGCTGTGGTAGTCACAGGACTGGCCCAGTGGTGAAATGTAAATTTTGTTACTACCAGTTCTGTGGGCGTGGCTTGGTGGGGGGGGGTTAATATGACTGAGTGGGCGTGGCCAACTTTTTTTTTTTTTTACTTTTAAAACCATTTTTTCTACAACCTCTTCAGCTGAAGAGGTTGTAAAAAAATGCTTTTAAAAGCCTCTGACGATCCCAGCTGAGTTGCCTGATCGGCAGAGGCTTTTTTTCTTTTAAAAACATTTTTTTAGAACCTCTTCAGTGGAAGAGGTTGTAGAAAATATGCTTTGACAAGCCTCTGATGATCAGGCAATAATGATCCCAACTGAGCCGCGCAATCATCAGAGGCTTTTTTTTTTACTTTTAAAAGCATTTTTTCGGCCAAAGAGGTTGTAGAAAAAATCCTTTTAAAAATTAAAAAGAGCCTCTGATGATTGCGTGGCTCAGCTGGGCAATGGCGGGGGGGGCAGGGATTTTAGCTACCGGTTCTCCGAACCAACCGCCTCCATCGCTACCGGATCGGGCAATCCGGTCCAAACCGGAGCATTTCACCCCTGGACTGGCCCTTTGGTCATCCCAGAGCAGCTCCTCCACATGGGTGCACCGACCTGCAGGGATGACCAAAGGGCCAGTTCTGTGACTACCACAGCTCTGGAATATGGGACTGGGCCGTGGTGGGGCTGGAAATCTCCGCCATAGGGGATGGCATGTGCAATGTGCAACTTTGCAAGTGGTGCAATATGCAAAAAGGAGCGCAGCCCTTGCTGGTCGGAACAAGATAATGGTGCTGTTACGGAGGGAGGGCAGCCCAAGTGGGCTAAGTGGCCGTGGCGATGGCTGGATTTGCATGGCATCAGCATTCCGTCTTTGCTGTGGTATATTTGTGCCAGCTGGTGGCACCAAGGCAGCCCTTGTCTCCTGCCGCTTGGGGCTCAGAGTGGTAACCCGCATCCAGGAAGCACTACAGCTTTTTTCCATTTTATCATTTCTTCCCTAAATTACAGTACACTATTCATAACTGTCCTATTTTAAATTTAATCAGCATCAACCTAGAATCTTAACCAGTGCACCATTATTATTTTTTCCACAACATAATCAAGGCAATGCAGCAAAGAAAGCAAAGCTAACAAATCTCAGTTCCCCCGCTTCATGCTAAATTTCTTTTAAGAATTTCTACTCATTCCCATTTTAAATGTATAGGCATATTCATGTCTGGGATTTATCCACCAATCCAATACAAAGAGAAGTCTTTAAAGCCCAGTGTTTCTAAAGCTTTGTTTTTAAATCACACAGGCAAGAAAAAGCAGGTTGGAAGCAAATGGAGGACTTGGGAAAGTAATGGTTGGGGGGGGAGAATCAATAAGAAAAACGGAGATGTCCGGAAAGGGACGGCCAATGTAAATAATGATAATTTTTAAAATCACAATCAAAGGGGATTTGGGCAGCTAACACTGGAAAAGCCAGCTTTGGAAAGCACCAGCTGGATACAAAAAGAGGAAGGGGTCTTTTTTTCTTTTTCCAGCAAAAGCCACAGGGAAAGAAGGGGAAAGAGCCAGTCGGCTTTGCGCGGAAAAGTCGGGCAAAGATACCTCAAAGATATCTCTTCTTCTTTTCTTCCCGACCATAGCCACCCAACCTCTGAAGATCCAGTATTTCTACCTCATCCAAAAGGCTGGCCGGGGGCAGAAGAATGGAAGGGGTGACAAGGGCTGTGTGAAGTCCCCCTGATGGGGGATGGCTTGAAGTAGACGAAGGGCTTGGCTTGGCATATGAGTGCCAGTGCTGGGCTCAACCTGCCGGCTGGAGGGAGCTGCTATGGGGGACTGATGAGGGAGTGCTTGGGGCTCGGAGCCCTTGGGGCTCGGAGCAGTAAACCGCATCCAGGAAGCACTACAGCAGCCGGAGTCAACCCTGGCTTTGCTGTCCATTGCAGACACTAGATCGGCCCCCTGCAAACTCTCGTCTCTCGAGGAGCCCAGCCAAAGTTTCCCGTGCCACTTCAGCAAGCACTCCTCGAGAGAGGAGAGTTTGCAAGGGGCCGATCTAGCATCTGCAATGGACAGCAAAGCCAGGGTTGACTCCAGCTGCTTCCCTCTGCTAACAGGCAGCCAAGCTAACTGCCTGAAGGACCCTATCCTGTCTCTGGGAGTCAAACGCTGAAGCGTGA